AGATACAGCACAGTGGAGTCGTAAGTGTTTTAATTAGGTGTTAAATTACTTGATGCAGTTTAATTTGATTTTGGTGAAAAACACATGAATTAATTATCCTCATAAAACACATGTAGTTTTAATAAGACTTATTGTAATGTACAATTGTACTTTTCACAAAATGAAAAGAGGATTTCTTTTATACTTTGAACTGGATAACAGCAGCTCACACTGGGAGGTGGTGAGGAGTAATTAGTTGTATTAATGTGAGAGATAAAAGCTTTGTTATGGTGATGGAAACTCTCACAGCTGGTTCTATGTCTGTTTACCCATAATTTCTAAGAAATCACTTCAAGTGTGTCAACTTAATCATAGAACTCACACCCAGATTAATTAACTTGTGTTTCCAGTTAAAGGAAGGGCACAGCAGAGATTAAAACATGTTTGAGATAATATTTAAAACCATTTTCTGACTTTACAAAGCTACTGGTTACAATTCCATTTTCCCCTGCAAACTCAGTTTGTTGGTTTTCCAATGCTCCAAATGTAAAGATATGGCACCCTGCTGCTAATAATAAATTGAGCATAATCTCATTATGATTTTGCAGACTAAAATAAAATATTCAAAGGCTCAACTCTAATGAATACAACATGAAAGAAACAAGGTCTTAATTGTAACTGGCAACAGTGAATTTCAGCCTTTTTTGCATTTGAGTATTAGGAGGTTAAGTTGTCATTTTCTCTCTAAATATGTTCACACAGTTTCAAACATGCATTTAATTCAAGACACTTACAGATCACTAAAGTGTTTTACATTTGAAAAGATGAATAGGAGTATAAAAACACTTTCGGCTTTAGTGATGAAAACTGAGACATACCCACCTCTCGTGAGACAACACAAAAGTAGATGCATAAGACCCGGTTAACATAGCAGGAATTAAAGGGAACATTTCGTAACTTTTTCTGAAGTTATAATAGTTTTACGGTTGATACACAATATTTTAATAAAGTTCATTGAATCAGATCCCTCTCACATGAAGCAATATCAGCAGTTTTATTCTTGACATTTTCAGTACCTTCCAAGAAGAGCCGTTTCAGGGCTCTGTCACCTTAAGAAAACTCGCCCCCCGCTCAGGCTGCTGAGTAGCTCTGATATCCAGGAGGGGCTCGGAGTAAAGCCGCTGCTTCTTCAGTGTCAACAGGTGACGGGAGTTCAATGCTAAATTTCACAAACCTGGACTTTTTGCAACAGCAATCCTAAAACTAAACACTGACAGATAATGAATTGTATTTAGGTAGCGATAAATATAATAAAGCTTTAGGCCTACAGTTCCTGTTATTTTTTACTAAACTCTTCAACATTTTTTAATCACTGTTGCAGTTTTAAAAGCTGCAAAAATAAAGTTTTTGAAATTTCAAATACTTATACACACACACACACACACACACACACACACACACACACACACACACACACACACACTTGATGTTTCTGTACAGAAACATTTGGCGTTGCTTGTACTTCTCCTACATTTCTGACCTTAAGGGTAAAGATGCAAATCATTTCTTGCCCTAAAGCCTTCGTCTAATTCTATGCATCGCAGCTACTTCTGAATACAATCTGAAGAGGGTTTATTTCCAACAGACATGATGATGTATTTGTGGCTGAAACTGTGTAAGTCAGTGTGCCTGACTTAATTAAAAATGTAGCATAGTCATAATGAAGGGTGCAGGTCAGTGGTTTACATACCAGCTGCTTATGGCAGCTTATGGGTGATGGCGGTCACATCTAATCATGTGTTTTACTGTAACTGCAGAGTGTATAATTAACCCTGACATGCAGCAGGGAGTAAGGTCAGCCAGCACTGCCATGCCTTTCATTAAAAAAATCAACCACACACATCAGCAGACCAGGGGCCTCATTTATCAAGCTTGCTAACGCACAAAACGGGGTCGGAAAACTGCATAAGCAACTTTCCACACAAACCATGGGATTTATGAAAGAAACTTAGCGGAAAAATGTGCGCAACTTTTAGTTGACTAAGGACCTTGCTTACGCATGTCATGTTCTGGGGCGAATGTCTAACCCAAGACATGCAGAATCAGGAGACGGACACAAGTTGAAGGGAAAAAATATATATTTTATTAAACGAGGAACTAAGGGCACACTGGAAGTCCAGCGGGTGAGAAAAACAGGAAGCAGTGTCTAGAGGGAAGAGCAACAGAGGTGAGAACTGGGATTTGTGGTCCAAATGAGGGAAACGTAAGGAGGGACTTCCGGTTCGGGAAGATCAGGAGAGCTAGGGAGGGGATAAGCCAGGTTAATAGTCCAGGAGATGAACTGTGAGCGGTCCAAGATGGTGAGTGGGGATGTTTCCGAGAGGCCTGTGTGGGGTTGGAGAGGGAGCGGGGTGCGGCGGAGAGCGGGTCGGTCCAAGCGGGTGGATGGTGAACCAGGAAGCAAGCCGGTGTGAGATCCTTACACAGTTGGACGGAAATCCTGAGGTGAAGCCAACCTGAGGTGAGCGATCCAAATAAACACCCGGTGGTTAGTCGAGGTTACAAATACACACAAGGGTACAAAGTCTAGAGACGAGTTTTCGAAGGCTAGAGACTACCAGTCAGTAGTAATCTTCCGGCGTCGAGTCACGTTCACCATCCTCCTTATGAAGCAGACCCGCTGACGAGGAACAGCTGTCGCTCCCTCTCCTGCAACCAAACACTCAGAGATGCTGAAAAGTGAGAAGAGTACTCGCCTCGGCTCATGACAACACACATGTTGGACATGGAGAGCACCTGCAGTGCTGCTGCTGAGAAGGATAAAATGATGAAATCCTGCAGCATTATCACTTGTACTGCTTCATACACACTTATGGGCTCGACACTCGGGAGGCGACATCGCCTCTCCTCCATTCATTTTCAATGAGACATGCGCGACAAAGCGATAATCGCGGGTCTCTCTCCTACCAAGCAAAACGCGAAAAACGTGCGTGTGAAAGTTTGCACTCGTGCACGTGTCGTGCACCGACGACCCAGCGACGCGATCCCAGAAAGTTGAAACATTTTCAACTTTTCATCGCTGTCGCTCGGGCGAGGACCAATCAACGGAGGTTTCATTCACTGACCAATGAGCGGACAGGATGCTCCGCACATCTCCGAGCAAACATGAAGGAGAAGTTGATTATTATTATGTTTTATATAGTAAAATCAGAAGTAAGATTTCACATAACTCTAGCAGCACCTTGTGAAACATCATATCTACCACTTTTTTTTTACTCTGAACCGCTTAAATAACCTTAATTCCCTCCAACCTGACACAGCCAAACAAAACAACGGAAGTTTCGATTTCGCCATGGAACAGAACGCGTAGACGGCTTTGCCGCTGGCCGCTGCCGCAGATCGCCTCCCGTGTGACAGGTAATAAAAGCGACAGCAACAAATTTCGCTGATCGCGGTCGTTTGTCGCCTCCCGTGTGTCGAGCCCAATAGAACAAGATCCCCCACACGCACACACACATGCGTACACACTCACACACACACACACACACAGCCTGAAGAGCAGAATACGGAATGCAGAACATCAGCAGGGGGACAGATTGAGACAGAATGTCATGCGTCTGTGACAGTGTGTGTCCTGTCATTGTGACCTGATTGATCATGTGCCCTGGCTACTCAGCCAAGGGAGATCTCAGTTTGGCTGACTGGTTAGCGTCTGTGACTTTCACCTGGAAGTCTGGGGATCGAATCCTGATTGGACCATTTTTTTATATCCGCCACAGATCTCTCTGAAGAACTCACAATATTGATGGCTTCAGCAACGCTGTGCCACTCCATGGATTTTCTCTTATTTGTTTTGCAAAAGCACTTCCTTTCATTTCTCCTCCTCACCCACAAGTACCTCAACTTCTGCTTGTGAAATAGCGATTCGTTGATCTGCCGTCGTGATCGAAATGCTGCAACAAGCCGGCTTATGTATATGCATGAGATCCACAAGGCACTTTGCATTGACTATTTATGGCAGTAAGTGGGCGTGGTGAGGGCGGGATGTGACTAAAATGCAGCTGAGAAACATTCTCGCGAGTCAATTTATGAAGCGGAGATTGCGTGCAGCTGTGCGTCCTCCTGGTTTGATAGATCACTAACCTACTTGGTGTAAGTACATTTTTTTAGCTGAGCTTAAGTACGGTTTTAGCAAGGATTCTACACAATGTTTGATAAATGACACCCCCAGGGCTTTTATTTCACAACTAAAACCTGCTACACATCAAGCAGATTTTTTATTTACACCTGTAAACAAATCACTTCTCTTTGTGCCTTAATTTCATTGAGTTATTTTTCCTTTCACCTTCATTTAGACCTTTTTGTTTTGTTATTGTGCTCTACTGATCTACATGCAGTAGGAGTCCAGAGTAGCATTCAAAGCTGCAACACCTGTGAAAGTCCTGCAAAGACAAGGAGTTCAGGACTGACCCCATCATGTCATGTTACCATTTCATTACACAGGTCACTCCACCAGGTAAGAAATAGCAGCTGTTGATTTGTGTGTGTGTGTGTGTGTGTGTGCGCGCGTGTGTGTGTGTGTGTGTGTGTGTGTGTGTGTGTGTGTGTGTGTGTGTGTGTGTGTGTGTGTGTGTGTGTGTGTGTGTGTGTGTGTGTGTGCAGCTAAGGTGTTAATGAATTTAATAGCTAGGTAGAAACATTCTAGACAAAAATGTTTATAAAATGTTGATTTGAAGATTGACAAATCATTGTGTTGGTAGAATAATTCATTAACACCTCACAATGATAATGAAAGGCAGGTAATAAAGTTTTTGCATGTGAATGTTATATGGCAAGCCAAAGGGTGCAAAACAACGCACATTCTAAATGAGTGCAATGGTCACCAAATGTATGAAAAGCCAATGGTGACACAGAATACTTTGCAAGCTATAAGACTATGATAAATTTGAAATTGTTTACATTGTTTACTGTTTTTGGTTTATTTGTTTTGGTTCAGAAGATTTTTTTCTGGATTTACTCACCCGACAGTTGCTCAGCTCTTCCGCAGTCAGGATGACGGTGCCACATTTCTTTCCAGGAATTCCTCTGGAGGGAAAAAACAAACATACAAAAAAATAAATAAAAACCTAATAGGAATGAAAACAAATCATTTTTCCAGCATGTCTTGGCTGATCAGTAAAGTCCACCCAAGATAATTAAGGCATATATTCATTTTGTAATCATGTAGTTCCTTCTCACACAACTCTTCGAAAGCCAACCATCATTCTCTTTCTCTGTTGAATAATTGAGCTTCATAGTGCGACCTTGTTTGTTCACTTTTATTTAAAACTATTCAGGAATCTATGTCTTTATTTCATTAACGTCTCTGATAAATCACCTTAGGTCTTTACAATGATTAGTCACGTTTGTTAAAATAAGAAGTTTTAGATTCTCAATTTTTTTTATGTCTGAATGTGGCCGAAGATGAAAGTCACAAACATTTTTGTATTAGAGCTGTGATTTCAGAACAGTAAAGTGATTTTGTTAATATAACATTAAATGGCGTGAATTGATTTGAGTGATTAAAGTAAATTCCTATGAAAGAATCGAGCTTACTCACAAAGGGGGTAACAAGGGATGGGGTGTAGAATAGAGGCTGACCGACATGGAGTTTTTAAGGCTGATGCCGAAAACGATTTTTAAAGAATTTTGTTGCTGATGGCCGATATCTAAAGCCAATTTTTAAGGCCGATATACATATATATATATGCAATATACATTAAAAAAGTCAATACATCTCTTAATATTTATTGAACTTCAAATATAAAACAAACTCACAACATTAAAATAAACGACGTGTTGGGGTTCTTCGGGTCCTTTCTTAAGTCTAGTAGTAGTGGCTGTTCACCACACAGGTGCCTTATTTAATTATTTACTTTTATCGGCCTTTAAAATCAATTTCGGCCGACCGCCGACATAGAAATAAATGTAACATGTTGGTCGGTCTGTAGTGTAGAAACATGCATCAATCCATTTTTTATATTCACATTAAACCATCTTAAGTGTAGTCTGATAAAATCACGAGGAGCCTAAACATTTCCAACCATAGTGAGTACACTGATGAATACAAAGATTTGAATTTGTGAGTGTGAGCAACATTTTTCATTAATTCCATGAAAAATAATAGCTACGACAAAATCTCCCCTCTGCTATTCATCTATATATATTTCTCTATTTGGTTTCTGTCTAAGAAAACAACAACAACAACACGGTGCCAACTTCTCACTCACTGCTGCTGCCTGTCTCTGCAGCTGAGTGCACAGCGTGCACGCAGAGAGATATCTGCTCATTGTAGGGAGAAAAATATCCTGCAAGACTATCAACTGTGCCCAAAAAGTTTATATACACATATATTTATTTTTTACTTTTTATTTTCCCCTAAAATAGAAGTTTAAGGGGCCTGACAATGAGACAAGAATGGATATGACATGCACAGCTGTGAGTGACAGAAGCATCAGGTATGCAGGTAGAAATAAACACCTGAAAAAGAGAAAAATATATATTCACACAAATTCAAATTACTGACAGCCAAACAAACAAATGCTAGAATTTGGAGTTTGGAAAACTGCAAATAAAGATACTTATTAATAAATCATGAAAAACTATTTACAAAAAAATGAGAAATCTCTAGGAAAAAGCACACCAGTAGAAAACCAATCACACAAGGATCTGACAATCACTGACAAAAGCTCTGGCGCTCCTGTTTCAGTAACTAGAAATGAGCCAGATCAGAAGTGAGCAGAACACGGCAAGACATGGAGTCTGGTTTCCTGATATTCTGACATCTTTCCTCTGATTGGCTACTAGCAGTGCAACACTAAGTCATCTGCTGCAACGTAGATGTTTTTTCTCCACCAATAACAGAAGCCTGAAGGTCTGCTATCTTGTGGATTAGCTTTTGCTAACGGTTAGCTTTTGCAAGTTGTGATGTGCTCTGCTCTCACCTGGACACTAAATCAACAATAGCTGTCCCAGCCCACAGCTAAGATGGGTGAGTCCATGGATGCCAATTTGACATTACAATGTGCGTTTGAGTGGCTTTTCTATCTGAGAGTTTCTCATCTAATTTTTATAGGTGGCTGAAGCAGGAAAAATGTGTGTAAGTCTATTTCAACGTTCAGTCTGCACGTGACAGATCGTGTTTCTAACAGAACAAGTTAAAATCCTTTTCTCAGTTAGTTGGTCTTATTTTAAATCTTTTGATTTCTTTGAATGTTCTAAAACTGCAATGAAGGCAAGATTTTCACAAAATTATTGAAGTTTAACAACCGGTCCCCAAAGTCCCACTTTACTGCAGATTATATACAAAAATCTGTAGCAATTTTAGTTTGAAGCATGATGTCTGACCCTATACATTCTAAAAGAATGAACCATTTTTCTTTAACCATTATTGGGTTATTTAACATATTGATTTTTACAACACAGTAATGTGAAATAACCAGTTGTCATTTTAAATATCTGTCTTAAAGTCAGAATACACAAAAGTCATTCAGGTCGGATTATTAGTATTAGCTAGTTCCAGCAGAACCATTACTTTACAGCCAATGAGTTTCCTGTAAACATAACTCCTTGTTCATCTAAAAACATTACCAAAAATCTGTAGAATCCTCCAGGAGTTTATTCACGTAAAACTAAAAACAAGATTAAATGTAATGATTTCACTTAATTGTTCAGTTTTATCCCTTTTAATAGGACACAGAGCTTTTAACTTGATTGTTCGGTATTTGTTTTGTTTGGTCTAAGCTCAAAAGATTGGACTGAATGTTTCCCAGCAGTGTATGATGGCATTGTCAGCTCCTCCATCAGGCTTGAGTGTTTTAATTCATAGACGGAGACCTTTGATCCACACAGTGAAAGACTCCCATCGATCCTCAAGTGGACAAAACCATCCTGGTTACAGAACTGACTGAGGCATAAAACTGTGAAAGGATTTGTTCTTAATCAACTAAACTTACACACACACACACACACACACACACACACACACACACACACACACACACACACACACACACACACACACACACACACACACACACAGCTGCAGGCTCAAACACGGCTGTCAGGAGCCAATATCTATCCTCCTCCACTTATTTTCTTTTCTTAACATCCTGTGGCTCGGTCAATTCTCTCCCCCAGAAATAGCTCACTGAATAATTAAACTCAGCGGACCAATGAGTTCAGGTTGCACAAGTGGTGGTGTGCTGTGTTTACAAGCTGTGGTTTCACCATCATTACAGAGCAAAGCCACTAAAGCAACAATGACCCACAGCATGAGGACTCAGCTGTAACTGGGTTCACTGGTCAGGAAGTGTTTTAAAAACACTTTTACTTGGAATACACGCTGCATGCCTGGAGACACGACCCTCCTGCTGGATGGAATTATCGACACAGAATCACTCACTCAACTGGATTTATTGATTTAGTCTGCAGGTGATTCAATATTAGAGGCCGAGCGATGTGGATTTTTTCAGGCCGATACCGAATTTGAAAGAATTTTGTTGCCATTGGCTGATATCTAAAGCCGATTCTTAAGGCTGATATATACACATTTTAGCAGCACATTGATTGTGAAAGACAACTGAACCCTCACTGTGTGCACAATAAATTAAACTAGTCAATAAAATTCTTAATATTTATTGAACTTCAAAGATAAAACAAACTCAAAAAATTAAAAAAAAATAAACTGGTGTGTTGGGCCGATATAGAAAAGATTGAAGATATATGCCGGCCTCTATTCAGAAGGTTCACAAACCTTAGTTTACAATATTAAATGTAAAAAAATAAATAAATAAAAAGAAAGTGTTCTGATCACTTTTTTAAAAAAAGTCCATCTACCTAGACAGATTTGCACATTTCTACAGCTATAAATGAAATAAATTTAAGTCTTATTGTTCTGGAGGAAATGGTTAGAAGGACATTTTAAAAGGAACTGCGGTTGTGAAGCAACAATTGAATTGTCAGGTAAAACGTACAAGTAGCAACTAACAGTAAGCTCTAACTAGGTCTGTGGAGTAAGGACGATGAAAGAGGAGATAAGTGAAGGACCTAATCCCACCAAACTGATTGACTTTACATACCTCTGTGTGAAATAACACGATTTGCAATCATTAAAAGATAAATTGTGTAAGAATGAAATAAATAGAAAAGACAACTGATGAAACAATGAGGACTTTCTCCTTCTGTCTTCTGTCCTGTTTATATTAAAAACCTCATGAGTCTTGTTCATTAGAAACGACTGGGAAATAGACATGAAATAATCAAATAATCAGGAATTTATTTTGCAGGCAAGCTCATAATTAAAGATCGTTTTTTTTCTGCGAAATGAGGAGTCCTGCTGAATGTGCCCACCTGCTGCAGATGTAAAGCCATCATTTAACACACATCGTGTACAGCACCTTTAAAAACTTTGAAACTTTTTTTTTTTTGCAAAAAGAAAAAAAAAACTTGTTTTTTTTTCTTTTATCAAAAACAGTTGCACATATTGCACATATATTGTACATTTCTTGTTAAAATAACACTGGAGAATGACACTTTTGCACTCGAGTGTATTTATAGTCTGCATGCACGCACATTTATAGAAGGAGAAATGTTTTTCCTGTATGAAAATGTAAGAAAGGCTATGGAGTTAGACTTAAAGGATAAGAATACACACACACACACACACACACACACACACACACACACACACACACACACACACACACACACACACACACACTAAGGGTAATTATGTAGCGAGAAGCTTCATTTACAGAAATCCTGATGACGATTCCTCCAACAACGATTAGTTATAAAACCATCAGATAAACTAGCTTATCTTTTCTCTCTAGAAAACTCGGCAATTTAAATCTTTAATTTATGACTGTCCTAAGAAAATAAGTTTAAGTCATCCTTCTAACTTGATGCTTCCCAAATATAAAACGTTTCTTTCAGTTCAATCAAAAAAAAATAAAAACAAGAACTGAATTTTTCTAATCAGAGGTGGCTACAGCAATAGCACATAAACCTGTGTCTAAGGTCAGAGGACAGATGTCATGAGACAG